AAAGATAATTACTTGTGTTTGATGAATGTATGTTGGTTAACTGAATATATGTTGGTTAATTGAACTATAGCAACTTATGCAAATTTTGTCGACTGAATCCTTTGTCAACTGAAACAAGAGAGCTTAGTGTGAATAGAGCTTTCCTTATTGGTTCTAAAATGATTTGATATCAATGTGAATTTGCTTCAAGGTACCACATACTTGTTGGTCCAGACAGGCAGAGACGGTTTACTACATGTCAAGTTGGTCATTCCCCAAATATTTTTAAAAAGTCGTTATTTGCTGTTTCTATGCATGGTCACCAGTAAAAGGATGATCCCAAAATGCGATTTACAGATAGGGGGCACTGAGATCAAGCAAGTGCGGAAATTTAAATATCTGGGAAGTGTTTTGACAGAGGACAATAAGTATGACACAGAGATCCGAAGACGTATCGGGATGGCCAAAGAAAAGTTCCAAAAGCTAGGCAGAGTATTACGAGACAGGAGGATTTCTTTGGTAACAAAGAAAAGAATACTGAACTGCTACGTGACATCTGTCCGCCATTACGGCAGCGAATGTTGGACGGTCTCCTCAAAGATGAAGAAGAGACTCGAGGCAATGGAGATATGTTTCTACAGAAGGATGCTGAGAATATCCTGGATCGAGCATGTGAGCAGTGATGTTGTTTTGGAGAGGATGCAAACATGGCGGAAGCTTATACTTAACATCAGTATGAGATGTTGGCGAATTGAATGGCAAAATAAAAATTCTCTTTGTAACATGTTTTGTCCATAAAAAGGACTGACTTTATTTGACTAAAATAATACTCTTACTGATTGTATTATATATATATATATATATATATATATATATATATATATATAAGTGAACATAGAAGTCAACACTTAGAGGCGACAGTCTGTTTCATACTATATGCAATCGTCAGGCCACATATGCTGTTATTTTTCTCGGCTATTTATATATATAAGGGGTTAGTGGTGCATTGTGGGTATTCTATTATGGCGGTTATTTTTTACCGGAAGTCGCTTTGTTTATTTATTTGGGTCAAATTATATTGCTCGTTTTTAATTTTTTGTTTCTTATTTTATATATTTATTTCTTAACGTAGTAAAAATTTGTTTATATCACGTATTTAACAGTTTTGTTTTGAGAATTTAATTCAAGCTATTTGTTCAATTTTGGGGTTGGTTGTTGTAGTTCATTATAACTATATAATACCCACAATGCTCCACTAACCCGTATATATATAAATAGCCGAGAAAAATAACTGCGCACGTGGCCTGATGATTATATATAGCATGAAACAGACTGTCGCCTCTAAGTGTTGACTTCTATGTTCACTTTTATATTTACACACGCTCTATCTCTGATATTGAGCACTTTATCCCATAAATATAGCACACCTTAAGACTATATTTCTTTATATTTCTTTTATATATATATATATATATATATATATATATATATATATATATACGTATGTATATGAATGTGTGTTTTGTGTAGACGCATGATGTGAGGATAAACCAAAGAGACAACCTTGAATACGGCTCTACAAATCTAAATTTAAAATATTTTCTTGCGTTTGATGAATATATGTTAGGTAATTGAATGACAAAATAAAAAAATCTCTTTGTAAAATGTTTGTCCTTAAAAAGGACTGATATCATTTGACTAATATAATACTCTTACTGACTGTATATATATATATATATATATATATATATATATATATATATATATATATATATAAGGAAGTTGTGAGATAAAAAAAATAAACAAATAAATAAAATAAAATAGCAAAAGGAACTAGAAACAAATGAAAGCGAGCCCCAACAAACGCTAACGTCGTTTACACAATGAAGGCTTAAGGGACCCGATGTAAAGTGCCTCCAGAACCTTTAGATGAAATAAATAGTGTGACCGGGACAACACGGTGAACCAGACAGCACTAGTATTTAGTCACCCCCACCCACGAGGGTATCATGTGGCACTAGGCCGGTTTAACGTGGGATCTCCGAGCCCGTGGGCTCGTCCAAAAATATGCCCATTGAGCCGTATTCAGCGTAGACTCGTTCGGGTTCCTCCCCGCCCGAAGACAGAGAGTTCAACCGATCAACCGATCAGCCGGTCAGCGGGACGTCCGACTTCAGACTGAACCAGTGAACACTAAATTTGACTGCACACTATTTAATAGGTGTTCGCATATGGCGGAGCCATAGGTGTTCGGGACGAGTCCATTCAACGACAAGGTGTGATTTCTAATTTTTGTAGAAACGTGTTGCTTTATTCTCATGCCTAAGCTTTGAGTTGTTCTCCCTATGTAGTCGGCTCCGCAACTACAAACGTATTTATAAATAATTGAATTAATTTGATTGGGAGGGAGAACGCCTTTACACGCAGAACGAAAAATAGGCCGAGTTTGAAAAATAATCCGAACTTCGGCAGAGAAAAAACAACGATGAACATTGGATGAAATTTGTTCAGCTATTTTTTCACATTTGGTACCAATCCAGGGTAATCTGAGGTAAACTGGGCATTTTCAACAGTGTAGAGCTCGGCACTTCTGAACTCTTCAACTTTACTGCGGATAACTGAATTAACAGTATCAAGAGGATAACCTAAACTAGATAGGGTATCCTTAATAAAGTTAATTTCGTCGTTCAAGAAGGGCTCAGAGTAGATCTTTAATGCTCTATGTAGGAGGATTTGAATGATGTTAATCTTGCGCTTAGTGGGACAAAAAGAATCCCAACGCATAGACAACCCTGCGAAAGTAGGTTTATATATATATGAAAAGACGATGGACATTTTCATGTTGGATTTTTATATGTTCTAATGTTAATTATGTTTAAATGAAAATGTCCTGAAGATGGTCTAAAATAGACCGAAACGTCCGACGTTGACTTTATATTAGCATAAATACTACATAATTGCATATTCAGATTTTTGTTTGTTTTTTTTTCTGTATATTTTCTTCATACTGTCGGATCTATATCTACATATATATATATATATATATATATATATATATATATATAATATATATATATATATATAATATTTTTTATGAAAATATATATTTATGTGATCAGTCATAGCGTAGATATTATTACGGTCAGATTTGGTTTTTCAGAAGCTCGAAATAAATTATCCTTAATATAGGTTCGTATACAATGCGACACGTAGTTCGGGGCTACGAATTCGACCAGAGAAAACATATTTATCTTGTCACTACACCATCTTCTGTGTAAAGAGAGAGAGAGAGAGAGAGAGAGAGAGAAACGTGGTTTGTTCGTTTATGTTATACTGCGTTATACAACGCCCCCTAGCGGACTTTAATAGAATTCCTCCGCCAAAGAAGGAGTATCTAATCCCACATATGCGCTAAACGCTTACTTTACGTCTGGACTATTTTGCGTTTGTTTCATTGTTATTTTCCTGGCGTGATCCTTTTATCTCTTATTTCATATTTCAGACATTACCTCTGTGTGTATACTAGCACCACAAAGTTCGGGTCGTCAGAGTTCTGATCAGTACGGCCAGGTTTGTCATTTTGGACAATCCACGTATTCCGCATCAAATGGCTCTAGGTATCGCGTTACACACTGAATGCTTCAGATCAAACTCCCCCCAAAAGTTATATTTCAGCCTGTGACGATACAGGCCCAACGCCGTACCCATCACACAAAAAGAAATTTTTGTGATTCAATTTCTTTCAATGGCCGTACATTTATTTAATTCTACGTGGAATATTACACATTTAGTTCGGATAATGTCCAGTGAAATTTACATTGTAAAATTCTGCTAACCCCTCTCAGGATACGTGCATGTGGCGGGGTTGACAATCGTTTAATTCCGACCCCAAAGGAAATGGCATCCACCAGCAAAAATATCACCTTGTAATAATTGAGTGGAAACAAAAACAGGTTGAAAGTAAATTTGTCATGCTTAAACAAAAGAACGAGTAAATAAAGATTATAGCTTCAATAACAGAAGAAATAATTATTTTTAAACAGTGTTGAATAATATTAATCTTTGATTCATTGTGGGTAGTGATATATAGATATATTTCTTATTGAACAAAACTTATAATATCTATCTATCTATCTATCTATCTATCTATCTATCTCAGTCTGTTCATGTCTATCCCGCATTACTAATTATCTCTTTGTTCATATCTACATATATACCAACATCTCTCTCTCTCTTAAACTATCTATCTATCTATCTATCTATATATATATATATATATATATATATATATATATATATATCATTCCCACTCTCCTTCTATCTATCTATCTATCTATCTATCTATCTATCTATCTATCTATCTATCTATCTGTCTGTATATACACATACATACATACATATATATATATATATATATATATATATATATATATATATATATATATATCAATCGATTCATCACTGTCTATCCAATTATTATTCGTTATCTATGTATGTTTATATAGAGCTATTGCATTTTGTTCGTTATCGATCTATCTTTTTTCTCTGCATTCATATCTATCTAATCTAATTGACCTTCTCAAGGCAGCGGCGACCAAATATTTTGTGCTATTACGACTCTTTCCAGAGACGCCTTAACCAAAAAGTTTAAAGTCACCATTTTATCGTTACATGTCTTTCCACTCAAAAAATAGAAAGAAAATAAAGTTTACCATATTTCCTTGTGTACAATACGTAAAATGGTGAACAAAGATGAGGGAGAAGGTTGTATTATTATTATACCCAAGTATACGTTTTCAGTAATGTTTAATCGGCTTAAAAACCTGTTATTTGAAACAGCAAGATTGCAAATCCACTCAGCACAATAGATAATAAAACACAAAATAGGCAGGTGTTAATAATAATTGTTTACAAAAAGGTATTTGATGTGTCGGCCATATTTGTCTTTTTTGGAATTCAACATCTTTTGTCTCAAAGACAGGAAATTCACCGAAATTGATTCAAAAATTAATAAGGAGAATATGCAAAACTCTCATGTTTTCATAATATTAATTATCTATCTATCTATCTATCTATCTATCTATCTATCTAACACATTCTCATTCATATCTATCTATCTCTGTAACAGATTCTCATTCGTATCTATCTATCTATCTATTGTGAGACCGGAAACTACCTACACAATAGACTCTTCCAGGTCTATATTAAGTATGCGACACAACACTCTAGACAGAGACACAGAAAGTCAGAGTGACATAGCACTCTAGAGAGTGACACAGAGAGAGAGACACACACAGAGAGATAGAGAGACAGTGAGATCCGCGTACGACTACCAGTATTGGACACTAACATATAGTAAGCTCCTCTTACACTATCCCTGTAACCTGTTGTTAATATATCTTTCTTACATCTAATCCGTGTTCCGTGTTTTCCTTCTGTGGTCCCAACTTTGGCCCCACATCACTAACACATTCAATTTTATATCTATCTATCTATCAATCACATTCTCATTAATATCTATCTATCTATCTATCTATCTATCTATCTATCTATCTATCTATCTATCTCTTTGTGTTTATATCTATCTATCTATCTATCTATCTATCTATCTATCTATCTATCTATCTATGTCTGTTTATATCGGGCTATTGCTTTTTGTTCGTTATCTATCTTTTTCTGACTATTCATATCTATCTAGCCACTTATTCTAGGCAAGCAAATATTTTGTGTCATTACGACAATTTCCAGAAACTCCTTAACCTCAAACTTTACACTGAATCATAGAACACTACTTTCAATACATTATAACATACCTTTGAAACTAAGAATAAAACTACCTCCAACCACCATATAAAAATAAGCCAAGCAATTCAGGCAAAATGTAAACTATGAAAAAATGGCGTGAAGCATAAAAAAGTAATTTGCTTTTTACCGTTACATCTCTTTCCGATTAAAACTTACAAAGAAAAAAAAGTCCACCATATTTTTGTGTACATATTACGTGAAATTGTCTATTTTTTCTGAGATCAGGTATTGTAATTATTTACACTATTTACATTGTTTGGACTGTTGTCCTCATCTTCGTTGTCATATTCACGACGTTTAGACCGTTGTACACTCCGGCCTTCTTCTATATCTGTCTATATTTCTGAGATGAGGTATTGTAATTATTTACACTATTTACATTGTTCAGAATGTTGTCTTTATCTTCGTTGCCATATTCACAACATTTAGACCGTTGTACGCTCCGGCCTTCTTCTATATCTGTCTTTATTTATGACATGAGATATTGTAACTATTTACATTATTCGGACTGCTGTTTTCATCTTCGTTGTCACATTCACGAAGTTTCGACCAAGAAAACATGACCCAGTGGATTAAAGCTTAGTTTTAATCCAGTGACTTGATCCAAAGAGTTATGAGTTCAATATCGGGCTGCAGCTGAGGTGAACATAAAATTGGAGAGTTGAATTAAAGGGAGGTAACTGACATTGAGATATCCGGAAGGGGTATGGCACGTGGAACTAAAACAATCTAACCCAGTGGATAAAAAATAAAGGGTTTTCTTCGAAATTCCAATCACCCGAAGAATGCCGGACCATACAACAAGAAGTAGTGAATAACGGAAATGAGGAAAACAGTTCGAAAAAAGTAAATAGTCTAGAAAATTAAAATCAGTCTCTTCAATCGAAATATCAAAATACAAAAGTGAAAAAAACAATCATTTGTTAGTTAATTACTATTAACAAAATGATTCTAAGCTTAAAACATTTGAATGCACGCAAAACAATAGTCACATTAAAAGTACACAAGAATCACAGTGGGAATGTCCCATCAGAAAATGCCGTCAGTCTTTTGTATGAAGTCGTTTTGCAATTGTGTTCTCGTACGCGAATTCAGGCTTCCAAGTGATCAACAGTCTGCCAGGCATACACCATTTGGATGCATGCTAAACATTAAACTGTGACAATCAAAATCAACAGTATATTTCTGGAAATGGTTCTAAACTTTTGTAATAAAAAGACAAGAGAAAACAACAAAAATCAGCCTCTAACTAAAATGTTTCATCAAAATTGACCTTGTCGCACCAGTGAGTGTGTGCGAGCTTGGGTGTTCATTGTGTTACTTCCTTTCTTTCTTTCTCTATACGTCAGTTTTTTCTTCTGTCCATCAAAACCTTTCCCCTTGAACCAGTCCGCTTACTCTTTTTTTTAACTTTTTTTCTAAAGTTTTTCATCATTGCTTCTTATTTAGGTTTGTTATTTAGATGTGTGTGTGTGTGTGAGAGAGAGAGAGATAGAGAGAGAGAGAGAGTGCCGTATAACATAGTAATACCATTATACTTACAGTTTGTTTTATTCTTTGTTATTGTTTTATTGTTTGTTTTTTGTTTGTTTGTTTTTCTGTTGCATCCTCATCTGAAAATTTTCTTCGAACTTTTCACGTAGTCTTGTAAGCCTTATCCTGCATCTCCCCATGCTGGTAGGTCCTAGTCACCTCGCCAAGTTGCGTATATGTTGCATAGACCCCTGGTGGGGGTTGTCGTGGTCGACAATCTTGATGCGATAATTGTCATACCAGACATCATCTCTTGTAATAGACTCTCCCACAGATAATAAGTAGTAGTAGCAGTGGCCAGTTGGGCTCAGTGGTGTTGAGTGAGTCAGTCGATGTCGGACATTGAAGTATCAACCGTCACAACTAGATTGCTACGTCATTAACTCTTATTTCAAGTTCCTAACATTTTGTACGTCGAACCTAATTTAGGACGACTTATTGAAATACAAGCCTCTACTGTGAAAACTACTCTACAACAATAATAAACTTTCCTTTCTTCTCTCGCGGCCGGTGATCGCTTGTTGCTCTAATTCAAGATGGAAAGAATTTAAACGCAGGGAATTTTACTTAACTATTAACGTCGACATATAGATCTTCAAACTATCCAGCGGGATTGTTCTCTCACCCAACTGGGAAGCAGTTCCAGACATGAAAGGAAACCACGTCTATATTTTTCGACGGTTAAGAAACAACTCACTGAAAAATATTTTTCTATCATTCCCACGTTAGCCAAGCTAATAAAAATCGATTTTCGATATTTTGTCTTCCATCTGACCACGAAGGTCAACCTCAGAGCAGACGTACACTTCTTATAATTGCTAAACTATTATTTAACATTACTAAATTCTACTTCAAATCTCTGCTTCTCGCGTCTCGGCCTCAACTGTTAAATATTTATTATTATTGGGTTTCCGATTTTTTCTAAAGATCTTTTTCATTCTCTTTCACTTCCTAGTAGCTCTTTGCGTCTTAGCGGCATTATCGCCTTGCTTGGGTTGATCTGATTAAAAAGAAAAAAAAGAACTATAGCAACTTATGCAAATTTTGTCGACTGAATCCTTTGCCAACCGCAGTCCTGAGTATGCTGATATACTACGTCCGCGTCCTGGGTAAGGCGATAAACTACGTCCAACAGCAAGGCTTCTGACCAGGAGATTTTGAAGAGCGTGGAACCACCTCTTAATTGCTGGCGTTCCAAGGTCCATTCTGACCCGGGGTGGTATCACCTTTTACGGACTCAGCTATGCGTAAATAGTTGACACCGAAACTTGTGTAAAAATAGATTTTAATACCAGAAATACTTTGCAATAAAAATGATATTATCAGCAATAATTTTTGAAGGAAAAATTATTATCAGGAATACTTTTTTAAAAAAAGTACTAGCAAATAAAAAAAGGTATACATTCCTTGAAAAAAATATTACCAGCTATATAATTTCTTCAAGGAATAATATTCTCAGAAATAGATTTTTGAAGAAAAACATATTACCAGCAATAAAAATTTTGTCAGTATTAAATAACCCATTGTGGTTGATATGTCGTAAAACAAAACAAAGCAAACCAAAATTTTGCCAACCGAAACAAGTGAGCTATATAGAATATATAGATTTCCTTATTGGCTCTAAAATTATTTGATTCAATGTGAATTTGATTCAAGTTACTACATACGTGTTGGTCTGGACAAGGAGAAACGGTTTAGTACATGTCAAGTTGTTCATTCCAAATATATTAAAAAACAAAGTCGTTATTTGCTTTTTCTATGCAAGGTCATCAGTAAAAAGATGACTCCAAAATGCGATTTACAGGTCGGGGACACTGAGATCAAGCAAGTGCGGAAATTTAAATATCTGGGAAGTGTTTTTGACAGAGGATGATAAGTTCGACACTGAGATCAGAAGATGTATTGGGATGGGCAAAGAGGAATTCCAAAAGCTAGGAAGAATATTATAAGACAGGAGGATTTCTTTGGTAACAAAGAAAAGAGTAATGAACTGCTACGTGACATCTGTCCTTCTTTACGGCAGCGAATATTGGATGGTCTCCTCAAAGATGAAGAAGAGACTCGAGGCAATGGTGGTATGGTTATACAGAAGGATGCTGAGGATATCATGGACCGAATATGTGAGCAACGATGAGGTTTGGGAGAGGATACAAACAAGGTGGAAGCTTATACTTAACATCAGGAAGCGGCAGCTGAAATTTCTGGGACACGTAATGAGAAAAGAAGAGTCTCGCGGCAACGGAGGTATGGATCTGCAGAAGGATGCTGAGGATATCATAGTCCAGGCGTTTTGAGTAACGATGAGGTTTTGGAGAGGATACAAACAAGGTGGAAGTTTATACTTAATATCAGGAAGAGGTAGCTGAAATTTCACACCAACATAAAGTTATCAGCTGAAGTCCTAAAAAAAAGCGAATGCATGGTCATCAGTAAAAGGATGCTCCCAAAATACGAATTACAGGTCGGGGACACTGAGATCAAGCAAGTGCGGAAATTTAAATATCTGCGAAGTGTTTTTGACAGAGTATGATAAGTTCGACACTGAGATCGGAAGATGTATTAGGATAGCCAAAGAAGAATTCCAAAAGCTAGACACAATATTACGAAACAGGAGGATTTCTTTGGTAATAAAGAAAGGATTAATGAGCTACTACGTGACATTTGTCTTCCTTTACGGCAGCGA